GACTTCAGGTACACTTCACTAAAGATGTATGTTTAGTCACTAACTCGTTGAATAAGTGTGTGTTGACAGGAAAGCGAACACCGAGTAACTGTTATATTTGGGATGAACAATCGAGGATAGAGTTATGGCATCAAAGTAGAGGGAAAGCTTACGAGATATCTGATATACTTCGAGAACCAGTCAGTGATCACTCAGATCTTGACCATGGAGCGAGAGTTCGTCTCCAAAAGAGTCAGTGGGAGTAGGGTCGAACTTGAGGAAGTTCGAGAGCAGCAAGTAGACGCTGAGCCGAGTGAACAAGTTGAAGAAGTTCAACCTGTTTCACTGCCCGCTGTGACTCAACCTTTGACGAGTGAACCTCGGAGATCAGGCAGGATTCGCCAAGAGCCAACGAGATATGGATTTCTCGTGACTGGGAATGAGGAATTCATGTTATTAGAACATGACGAGCCCACCACATACTCAGAGGCAATGGCGAGTCCGGACTCCGAAAAATGGCGCGAGGCTATGAAGTCCGAGATGCAATCCATGTCAGACAACCAAGTATGGACTCTGGTTGATGCATCTGAAGGGATAAAACCCATCGGATGCAAGTGGATCTTCAAGAAGAAGACCGACATGGATGGCAACGTGCACACGTATAAGGCACGACTTGTGGCGAAAGGATTCCGTCGAATTTGAAGAAGTTTGGACCCTCAAAGAGTAAAACGGAAAAACTAACCAGTTCTATTCACTTGAGAAAACTGTCAAGTACAACTCACTTTTTGTTAGAGCTACTCAACACCCAGATGAAACTCCCCCTGAGTTTCAACTCACTCTCACAATGAATTCTACCGATTAAAAACCTTACCAAACATTAACGCTCACCAAAGGAATAGAGATTTTTCCATTAGGTCTCCCCCTCAGATCCACGCCCAAACACTCACCAGAGGAAAGAGATTTGCCCAATCGGTCTCTTCCTCAGACACACACTCACTCAAAAGTGAGTTATCACTCACCAACAAAAAGACTCTCTTTTAGTAAAATATGCTTTGCTCTCCGTGAGAACTGATATGCACTTGCTCTCTCCTTTATATAGGCTCCTCCAGTTCGCCTTAGATCTCCACGAATTGATTTGATAGACTCCTCTTTGATTTTCTTTGATTTCATCTTTATCTTCAAGATCTCATCTTTATCTCTTGTTTGACTCTATCTCTTCAGCCTTTGACCTTATCTCCAAGATCTTATCTTTATCTCAAATCTCCTCAAATCTTCTTGGCTTTGATTCTATCTTCATCTCTTCAAGTCAAATCCAAACTTCGTGGCTTAACTTCGTGGTTCTATATCTTCAGATTGCTTTTCCTAAAATCTCTCCAAGTGGTTGACATTGAGTTCATCTTAATCTCTTAGTCTTTGACTTTATCTCAAACTCGTCAGTTGTACCTCAGAATTGCGTGAGTTCTATCTCGCCGGATTCTTCTCCTGAAATCTCTCAAGCTTGTTGAACCTGCAATAACTACTTAACAACCAAAAAACACATGTGCAAATAATTGCACTAACAGACTGATTCCTTGAGCGATTCATGGATGACTTGGCCGATTCTGTGCTAGTTTATTCTTTCAGAATATCTCCCAAATCTCAAGCGATCTTATCTCCATGATTGTGCAGATTATTCGGTTTGCATTCTCGGTTTGGTTGCTCAATCTTCCTTTTATTTTTATTCCTCAACATTCCCCCTCAAGATTGACTTGGAGAGAATTCAGAAAGTCAATCTTGCCAAGAGAATATGTTGCTCGACTCTCAAGTATCCAATCTCATTGCATTGTGGCTCCTTCGATTTCGTTCTTCCATTGAGTCCCAAAATTAATTTTTGTTTTTGCACATACTCAATAAAAAGATTAGAAACCACAATGGAGGCCATAGCACTCCATACGATGATAAATCGAAATAAAACTGAAAGAGTATTCATTTCATCAAATAAGAGAAGATAAAGGTTCCTAATATTTTTAAATTCAAGTTTGAATGCTAACATATCATGATAAGAGTAATCATAAAGAGTTTCAAACATTTCTTTTTGGTTATCACCGACTTTATTCATACTCTTAATGTTTTTGAAATCATTCAACACATATACAATGTCATCGTGATAAAAAACAAAAGGTTTGAAAGGTTTGTGAAAACTAATACCTAGCCTAGAGTGTTCATAACTCATAGACAAATTAACCTCTTCTTTGGGCAGATTTTTCTTGCAATCTTCTTTTGATTTTTCTCCACTAGTTGTATTCATTTGACTTGGCAAGCTTACGAGAACATTGTTACATTCCCCCTCACTCGTGAGGTTGAGAAGTTTGAAGAATCTATCGTTGGAAAGCTGTTTAAAAACACTTAAAACACCCCACACATTATCTTGAAAAAAGATATCAATTTGGATTGGGCAATGAAAGAGATTGCAAACCCGATTGTCGATTTTCATGAACATGGTTGATGGAAGTTTGGAGATAGATGGAAGGGGTTGCATCTGGGTTGTCATTTGGATCTCTTTTTCGGGGTTCTTTGCCTCCTTTTTGAGATCATCCAATATAAAAACCGATTTATCTTGTCCTTTTTCTTCCTCTTTGTTTGTATCCGGCGCCAAAGTCTCCATGTAAATCGAGCTTTTTGTAGTTTCTTCAAGGTTTTCCTTAATCAAGTCAACAAACTCATTAGAATTAAAAAGAAATTCAATGAGTTGAGAAGTTAACCGAATATTGTGTTCTTGGAGGTATGTGAACAAAACCTCCTTGATTTGTAATGGGAGTTGATCAAGGATGTCTTCTTGTACATCCCATTCTCCCTCACAATCTTCTTCTATGTATGGTTCTTCATCCATACACATTGCTTGGAGGTCTTCGATAGAAAGCTTATGAAATGCTTCCACCTCTTCCTTGGTTGACCATATTTGTTCTACCTCACCGTTTTCATTCTCGATGTAGGTGCAATGATTACCTTCTTCATCTTCTAAAGGACCATAACAACTATCCCAAGAATTCCACATATTATTGTAGAGAGTGGTGGATCGTGGTTTGAATGAAAGGCCAACGAAACACTTTAAGAAAAATCTCCTTTTGGCTCGAATGAATGGCCTAAAAGGGACAAAAAAATATGTATGTATAAAACGAGCAGGCTCCTCTTCGATATATTCAAAATCGAGAGGGAATATGCTTTGATTTTGCAGCAGAACGAAAAACACAAGGTCCTCTACACCTTATGCTCTGATACCATGTAGATTTTTAGAGTTTGAATGTGTTTGATAAAATATGAATGACATGAACAATAATTAAAAGAGAAAGAGTTGAAAACGGTTTCTAAAATAAAGGAGGACAAAAGTCCCGTGTTCGAACTTAAATCTGTACAAAAGTGATTGCCTAACATATATACACCTATTCGAATATTAAATTTCATCGAGATATTAAATTTTTGAAAACAATATTCGAATATTTCAGATACTAAGCTTTGGTTATATATTATTTCTTACAAAAATTAAAATACACAAATTGTTAATAATATTTTTTAGAAAAAAAATCATTCCACTATTCTAACATTAAAAAAATTTCATTGCATTTTAAAATATAAATTAGAAATTCAAAAGCAAAATATATTTAAAACTATAACATTAATAATAAATTTTTTAAAATATATAACTATTTTCAGACATGCAATATTTGCAGTTTATTAACTAGTACGATGTAAAAGAGAAATGAAAAAAGTGGATTTATACTCTCTTTTTTTACCACAAAAGAGTTAAGGTGTGTTGGTTTATTTATCTCTATTTTATGTTTTTCTTGTTTAGTTTGTCTGTTTAGAAATTTTCAATATGAGATTTAATTTTAGTAAGTTAAATTTAGTATTTTTTGGGTTTGTTTATTATTATTATTATTATTGTTATTATTGTTATTATCTATAAATATTTAAAATTAGAATTTGAATCTCAGAACCTTTTAAAAGTAAATAAGAAACCCAGACAATAAGAAATATTCAAGTCACTTTTTTCAATGCTGGATTTATAAATAATATGTGAATAATTAAACCTGTAATTTACATGAATTTAAATTGAGATAGCTTGTAATTAGAAATAAAATAAAATCAATATCCATATGTGATCCATTCCTAACCTCACCTTATCCAAAATCTCCCCACAACATCTCTCACCTCTCTCTCTCTCTGTCTCTCACTCTCTCTCTGGCTGTCTCTCCGACCAAAAAATGGCTGCTTCAACAGCAGCGATCTCAATCCCCACGTTCAAACTCCATGAAACCAAGCTTCGTTTTGGAAACCCATCTAACCCTATACGCCTTAGGCTTCACTGCCCTACACTAACCCTCTCTTCTTCCCATCACCGCCGGAGATTCAATGCGTCTCCGGAGATCGCCGCCGTCGCCGCCGTGGAAGAGGAGGAGAAGGAGGAGCAAATATCCGAGACTCCAGAGGATGGCGGCGTGAATACTAAGCTTTACTTTGGAAACTTGCCTTATAGTGTGGACAGTGCCACTCTTGCTGGTCTCATCCAAGATTTTGCCAATCCTGAGCTCGTCGAGGTATCTCATCACACATCTCTCTCTCTCTAAAGTGTCACACTTAGTCTGGATTTTTTTTTCTCGTTTCTTGGCTCGTTTATTGGTTCCTCTAGAGAAGTCTCCAACCCAGTTGAAAAATAACAAGACACTTCTACCCCTAGATCCTTCTACGTGAAGGTTGTGGGTTCAATTAAGACTTCTGACTTATTTTGAGCCGGTCAGTTTCGTTTATCTTGCTTTGCGTGATTTGCCGGCTATCGTGTGGGACCGATATTTACTGTTCGAGTTGCTGTCCGACCCGGACTCGCCCGGTGTCCGATCTGGACGGTTGTGCGATGGTTCCCCACCCTTAAAAAAAAAAAAAAAAAAAAAAAAAAAGAGAAGACAGAAGCTTTAGAGTGAACCTCGGCCATACGGGCATCATGATCTCTTTGGGATAAGGTTCTTGAAACCAGAGAAAAATCGTCACAGTTTCTCCAATTTCGTGTTAGATTATTGGTTAGGAGGAACAGCAAAGAGTGAACGAATCTTTAAAGAATATAATCTCATGCGAATACAAATTGGATGGTAGGTTCTCTACAACAGAGAAACGGGGAGAAGTCGGGGGTTTGCCTTTGTGACAATGAGCAGCGTCGATGATTGCAACGCCGTTGTCGAAAATCTTGATGGAAGTGTAAGTGCTTCTTTGTAATTTTGCTTCACCATCTAAATTTGGATAGGGAATTTATGAATAAATCCATTTTTTTTTTTGGGCGTTGAATGGTTTTTTCAGGAGTATATGGGTAGAACTCTGAGAGTGAACTTCTCGGACAAACCAAAGCCGAAAGAGCCGTTGTACCCCGAAACAGAGTACAAACTATTCGTAGGTAACCTGTCGTGGTCGGTGACGTCAGAAAGCCTAGCTCAAGCTTTCCAAGGACATGGGAATGTCGTCGGGGCGAGAGTTCTGTACGATGGGGAGACTGGGAAGTCAAGAGGGTATGGTTTCGTGTGCTACTCTTCCCAAGCAGAGATGGAAGCTGCTCTTCAATCCCTCAATGGAGTGGTAAGAGATACAAAACTTAGCAACAACAACAACAACAATCACCATTGTTTTTATCATAAGAATCAATTCGACCGTTTGGTATATGATATATGGTATACCATAATGATATGTGAATTTTCCATGTGTTAATAGGAACTAGAGGGTCGGGAGATGCGGGTAAGCCTGGCTCAAGGGAAGAAGTATTGATTGAGACATTAACATTAAATGAAGCTGAGGGGGAAACCCTAATCATATCTATCCTCTAAACCCCTTTGCCCTTTTCATGTGCATATGATTCTGATAAATATATTAACATTCATTTGGTGATTGATATGAAACCAAACCGACAAGACCAATGTAACATCTGAAGGACTTGAACTTACTTGTATGGTTTTTGGATAGAAAACGAACTAAACCGAATGAAAACAATCCGAACTAAATAGATCCGAGTTGGGAGTACCATACTTGGGTTTGGATGAGAGGAAGAAGTGAAGAAGAATCTAACTGCTCTCTCTTAATGCAACAGCGGCCCCATTCTCTAATTTCTCTTCCAAATTCCATCCCCTGAATGCACAACAACACCACACACTCAGGTCTTAGTTTCTAAATCACATGAGGGCATGAGTCAGGGACACAAAAAAAGAGGAGAGAACAGTTTTTTTTTTAATTTACCTTTCAGCGGCTTCCCTTTTGAGATCATCAACCTGACTCTCGAGCATCGCACAAGCGGTTTGGATCTCCATATTCTTCACACAGAGCTCTCTCCACTCCGCTGACAGAGCATGGAGCTCATAGGCCGTTGTTTGCTGGTCACCATACCCAAAATTCATCTCAGGCCATAATGTGAAACGGGATATAATTGAAGAGAGCATAGGAAATGAACTGTTTTCCTGTACTTTGAAAGGGGTAATCACCTGATGGTATTTTCTTTCACGGTTTACAGCTTCAATTTTCTCGTTCTGCTCTCGAGCAAGTCTCTGCATTCTGAAAAAACAGAGAACGTGTCAGTGAAAACAGAATGTACAAAAGGCAAAACCCTGGAATAGCTAAGAGTTTGGCATGTCAAAGGACAACATAAAATGATTAAAATCTCTCATTGCTTCTGATCAGAAGTGTGCAAGTCAAGAGGAAGGCAGAGAGAGGGCAGAAGATTTATCATTTAGCAAAGATTTATAGCAGCTTTAAACCCAAAAGCCATAACCACATCCACATCACATGGACGGCTAAATCAATGCCCCTAAGAGCTCCGTACAGAATAGCATCCCAATTTAAGTACACAAAGCGCAGAGCAAGACTCGAGAAATGACACTTCTCAAAGGACAAGCAGCTTGGGCACATTCTGAAAACATCGAATACTTTCACACATTACCCAACAAACAAGGTCAATATTTGCAAGTCAGATCTGATTTGAGTACCAAACTTGGACCCTTAACCTACAGGCACAAAATAATCAGGAATCGATGACCATACCAATGTCCCAACATTTAACAAATGTAGTAATTTATAACATAAACCTGGACAAGAACACTTCTAAACGCTGGTTGTTGTGTCTCCAAAGCTCAGGACCATATTTTGACATCAACTCCAAATTTTCAAGTCTGCATATAGAAAAATTCAAAATATAAGCTGTAGAAGAAGTATAAATTATCAACAGAGACTCGTCAGAAAGAAGTACATGTAATGAATATTCAGAACATCTCTTACTCGATCATCTTCTGCTGCAATGAACGTTGATTCCTCTGAAGAGACTGTTTCAAGGCGGCATCATCGTTTCTCTTATTAGCAGGTGGCAGTTCGAACTTGTACCGTGATTCAAAGTCGATTCTAACAGGTGGTTTCCCCGCTCGGACACGCTCATACTCTTTGCTAAGGATAGGGCAGTTCTGATTTTTCGGATTACCAAGCAATACATAACACACAAGAGAAACAAAATGAGACAAATCAAGGCAGCCTAAAACAATCTGTACATTCAAATATCAACTTGATATTTGCCCTCAAATCCGAAGTAATTCTTCTGCTTCCAAAATCCTAAACTTTCAATACTGTTGAAGAAACCCTCAAATTTACATGCCTGTTCTGAGAATCCCACAACACAATGAGTAAGAGCAGAAACATACCGAGATCCTATGACAAAGAAGAACCCTAGAATAACAAATAAAATTGGTCACTCCAACCAAAGATTTCCAGTTGAAGCAAAACCCATTAAAGCAAAATTATAAGGAACTTCGGAAAACATCACCCAAAACCTCTATCCCCTTCCCACCAGAATCGTCACGACCACATGACACTAAAGAAAATTCGAAGTGAGAACCCTAGAACCACAGAACAAAACGGCACTTCAACCATAAAGCTCCAGCTGAAGCAAAACAAACAAAGATTACAGAAGAAAGATGCACCAGATTCCATCTTCCTCTTTCCGTCGACGCTTTCTCGGCATATAAACAGTAAGAAAACAAGCAGCAAATCGAAACGAAAACTACGACGGAAGTCACCTCGAAATCTAACTTGGGGAGAGGAGGCAATTCCTTGAGGAAATCAGCGGGTTTCTTAGAACTGCGACGCATCTCCTCCTCCACCAAGCGGTCGACCTCCGCCTTCACGAAAGGATTGCCGTAGTCGTCATCGATGTAAGGAAGCGCGTCGATGACCTCCGCATTCGACGCGCTCGCCCAAGGGCGCGTGGCCTCAGGCGCCGCCTCCAGCATCAGGATGTCGCCGTTGTGCGTTGCCATCGCCGTAGCAGCTCACAGAGAGAGAGAGAGAGAGAGAGAGAGAGAGAGAGAGAGAGTCGGATTTAGGTAACCAGACCCGGTCCGTTATCATACCAAACTATGCCATCATCAAACAGTGAATTAAGGCCCACATTTCCGTCCATATCGAATTTTGCTTCTCTCTCTTCAATTTTAGAAAAATTATATTTATTTTATTTTATTTTATACCAGATACTATTAAAATTATTTATTTTTGAAAATATTTCGCTTTTCTATATGAATTAATTGGTTTGATTTTTTTTTAAAAATGTAGTATTGATGGTTATTTGGGCTTTTTCCAGATGATTATGCTCATTGGGGGATCCAGAAAAAAAAATTAACGTCTGATTCATGCGCTTCTCCCCAGTGGCGGATCCAGAAAAAAAAATTAACGGGGGCACAATTAAATACGTATAAAATAAAAAAAATTAATAAATATATATCGTCTAAAAAAATATTTATATTTTACAATTAAATGCTACAATTTTTTATTTTTTAAAATCTATACATAACAATTTTATTTGTAAATATTTAAAATATTTTTTTTGATAAAATATATTCACAGTTGTTTTAGATAAATTTTAGTCAATTTCATTAGATTTGAAATATTAAACCCACGAAATGAGTCAATAAAATTTAAAATTATAATACAAATGAACAATTACGAATTTCTCTTCAAAACATTTATTAAATTCTCGGTAAATTTATAACAATATGTACAAATCGATCATTTATGTTATATTCTAACATAAATGATCCATTTAAACTAGACTAGATTAAATAGTCTAAATTTTTTTCATATTTTTTTGGAAAGTTATGATCACATGATTTTCTCTCATAAAATATTTACATCTCATCCAATCTTTTGATTAGTATAATATTCTAACATTTTTTCTATCGATGTGATTTGAAAACAAATAATCCAAATCAATTTGTTCAAACATTAAAAGATTAATTTAAAATTTTGATACATTACTGATTGAATTTTACCGGATGCAAAAAAAATTTAAAAAAAAATTATCTATTAATTTTTCTATCAAGTCAAATATAAAATATTAAGTAAATATTATAGAATAATAAATTAATAAATATGATCAAAATATAGAAAATAATGAATAAAAATAATATTTTTTTTTTAAATTAAAATCACAATATTTATATAATTTAATTCTATTAATTGTTCTGTATTTTTTTGATAATTTTTAGAAAATTATATGTATATACGAAGAAGATAAAAATGTAAAAAATATATATATTACTTAATCTAACCCTAGATTTTAGGAAAGAAAGACTAAATTAAAAAAGTGGGCCCACAAAAAATTGAGATAAGTAAAGAAAAAAATGTTACGGGGGCAAACAAATATTTTGAATGGGGGCATTTATAAATATTATTTAATTATTTTATAGTTTTATGAAGAAACTAATTAAAATTGATGTAATTGAGTGGGGGCATGGGACCCCACTCATCAACACGTAGATCCGCCCATGATTATGCTGTTATTTGTTTTCCTGTAATGATATGATATGATTGTTTCTGTGTTCTAAGCAATACCCATTTAACGGTAGATATTATATTACAAGGATATTTATTTTATGTTCTTTTTTATTAGTAATCATATTTTACATTAACCCCTACAAGATTAGGATCTAGATTATTCATAAACTTAAGGACACAAATAACTATTCAACCATCCGATTATTCATAAACTCAAAAAGTATTTTTTTTTGAAAGAAACCTTAAACTGGTTCATGCCGAAGAAAATCTAATTTTTCTAAACAATCTAAATTTTAATAAAATTGTATTTAAGGAATCAGTAACTCAACAATATTCCTAAAAAGAAAAGAAAAAATCAACTTTGATTTTTGTGAAATCTCGTAACAACAATATTACTTATTTTACTTTGATGCCCCAACCGAAAGGATTGAAAAAAAGAAAGAGGTGAAGCAATACTGAATCTGAAACACTAAAAGAGCTATTGGGGCATGCTTGAGTATAAGAGAGTGAAAAAGAGCTGAACTTCAGGCTGATCCCTGATGAGTTGTAAGAACCGGTTCCTGCCCGGTTCTGTGGTCATCGTCGGTATCATCCCCTCGATCCTCGGTAGGAGTTTCGCCAATGGCATCCCCATGCCCAGACCTTCCCGTGTTTCCATCTCGTCTACAAACGCTGTGATGAACGACTTCAACGATATCTCCACTATGTTGGTGAACTCAGTGCTGCAAGAACAAAACAGCAAAAAAGCATCAACTGTAATGGTTCCGGTTCTCGGCTTTTGGCAGCTATGAAAACATCGAGGGGAAGAAGAAATTTCGGTGGGTATTCTTTCTAAACCGAGGGGGCAGAGACGCTGCTACCTGGTGAGTACTTCTCGGGCTTCAACCATGAGTTGATCGAACTTGGTCACTGTTACGTCAGATGAAGAAACTTCCTTGAGGTTGTCTGAAGGGTTTGGGCCGATTCTTGTCTCCTGGGGCGTCATCAGGTAATCCACCCAGTGATGGGGACTTCCACTGCTCATGAACACATCCAAAATCTGCATCACTGTTTCTTGAAGAACACTTGCTGTGTAAACATCCCTCAGCTGCTTTCTACACGCATTAAGAAGATTTTAATTAATATATTTTCTTACAAACATAAAAGTAAAACAACAACAACAACAACAAATATCAGCAGTGTCGGCTTTTCCACTTTTGTTGGACAAGGAAAGCCAGAAAAAGAGCCTTATAGGTAGGTGTTGGAATGGCCAAAGACCGTAAAATTTGATTATCAGTGTTTTACGGGTGACACCAATATAAATCAAACTGTAATGATCTACAAGGACATGTTCTGCTGCTAAGATCAACACAACGTCCATCAAAGGGTATGAGGAAAAAAAAAAAGAACGGGGCATACATATAAAAGAACTTACCCCTTAAGAACTTCTGTGACAGCCGCCTGAACATCAGAAATTAAACCAGGCATGCCATTGGTGGAGAGAAAATCAGCGCTCGCAAGGAATTTTTGTTCGTCATCTCTATCGATGAGATCTAAGTCTTCCTGCAAAGAATATTAACCGAAAAACCGTTCTGAGGGATCATGAGACAGTCACTGTAACGAATGATCCAGCCAGCATCGCAGAAATCTTATGATAAACGCAAAGAAAGGTGCAGTCATACAATCATATGATAAACGCAAAGAAAGGTGCAGTCATACAAATGAGGTGCGATAAAACTGTACAGCTTAATGAAATGACCAAGATTTGTGCTTGAAATAGTTCTTCAGACATGAAACCAGCTAGACACAAAAATGGAGGCGCCGGATATCGGAGTTAGTGATATAACATAGTTCATCAGATACAAAACTTGACGAGGTTACTGACTCTTACAAGTAAATGGGAGCTGCCCAGGCCTCTTGCTGTATCGATATACAAGTGCCTGCCCAAAATGTTGACTTGGACCCTAATATACAAGCTTAGCATTGTGACTGACCACAAGGACAAAACCATCCTAGTGAAACCTGAAAAAAAAATGAAGAGAAAATCCTCGATGAGAATCTGTAATACGAAACAGATACATATGGACAGGAACTTGGCAAGAAAGAGCAGCCTACTTAAAATCTTGAGTTTATCCCAAAGCTGAAGCTTCTCGGAAGGGGGCAATGTTCCTTTCCCTTTGTTTAGGCTCTCCATAACATTAGAGACATCGATCTCTTCCCTTATCCGATCACTCAAATACTGCATTGCGTGAGACAGTGTTGTCGTATCGGCAATCATCTGAATGTTCTCGAAATGGGCTTTCATCCTAAAAATATTCACCATCCAATCCAACAACAAAGCAAAAGCTAAGTAATTAGATTCCAGGTAAGAAAGAGAGAGGAGTTAAAAAAAGCCAGAGACTTTTTTCACGGTTCTGGTTCAGACTTAACTGGGTTTTGATGATTTCTTCACTCTCACGGTCGATGGCGAGCTCTTGTTCCAAGACTGCGAGCCTACGAGTATGAGCATTGTATAGCTTGTAGAGCAAATATCCACTTCCCACACAACCCGCCGTAACGAAAATCCTCCTCCTATGCTTCCTCCAGAAACCCCTAATTTACCACAACGGGAAGCAACGCAATCACGAGGAAGCTATTGACCAGACAGAGGAAAACCCTAATTTCGCAGTCGCGAACACTACCAAAAACCCTACAAATCAGTAGCTAGAGAAAGCCCGAGACTGAAGTTCCGAAGCTTGGAGAGCCTAATCAAACCCGACGAGGAACACGAGCACAAACCTGACGAAATCCATGGCCCTTGAAGCTATTGAAGTCGAAACCATGAATCCATTTCCGAGAAATCACACGAAAAGTGCTGACGCCGAAATGAATACAGACAGCCAGTAGAAGACAGACATACGAACACAGAGAGAGGGAGAGGTGAAGTTTATCGTTTCGTTCGTGCTTGAGTCGAGGATTAAACAGATAAGATTTCCGGCAAGTGAGATGGCTTCTTGCTTCCGATCGCTTCGATGGGCAACGGGAAGAGAAGAACAAAACCGAGTTATCACAATCCCCGAGATTCTTCTTATTGGAACATTGTAATTGTAAACCGAATCTCCACGAGAACGTTAGTAATAGTATTTTTATTTTCTTTCACATTGGGATTCATTTTAGGATAAATATTTGTGTTTTTGTCGGGTTATTTTCTATTTCCATTTTTTTTATTTTAAAAGCTTTATTCATTTAATTTTATATAGATTTCAATTCGATTTATATTACATTTCGAATCAAATATACATTAAACAATATTTGTTTTCCGATAAAGATGTTTCCAAGCGATAATTTTTAAAATTTTATTCTATATTCGACTTGAATTTATTTAATTTTACTAGATTAGATGCGTGTGATGCGTGTGATGTGCCAATTGTTATTATTATTTTTGTTATTAATATTAGATTATATATTTTCATTATAAAAAATCAATGATATAAATGTGTTATAATTAATATATTATATATAAGATTAAATTATATTATCAAATTATATATATATATATGAAGGAGTGAAGAAATAGAAAAATATAAAGATTATTAGATTGTTATAGGGTAACCGCATAAAAATACCCGAACTTTTACAAAAATCTCAAATAAATATCCAAACTATAAAATTATCATATACATACCTGAACTTTTCACAACTCCCATATAAATATCCAGACTTTTAAATTTTTTCCAAATCAAACATGCATCCATTAACGTCGTTAAAGACAAATGCTGACTCATCAAAAAACACTGTTGACTCAACAAAAAAAAAATTAAATATCCAAAAAGTTTTTGGATTCTATAGTTATCATTTGTTTCTTTAGTTGTTTTCGTTGTTCGACTCAATATTTCCGATGTCAAGTCGTGAAGATTTCGACTTGAGGGAGGTGTATTATAATTGTTACAGTTTGTTACAATGATGTATATGTGTTAGTTATAATTATTTTTATTTTAATTTGTATATTATGTATGTGTATAAATTTAATTATAATTATTTTTATTTTAATATATATGCATTAGTAATGATATATATATATAGTAGTTATGTGTGTATGTGTTTTATACACTATAATATATATACATATAAATATTATTTTTAATATATATTATATGCATATATGTTAGTTATAATTATTTTTATTTTAATATATATATATTAGTAATAATATATATATACTGTAGTTATGTGTATATGTGTTTTATTAATTATAAATAATTTTATTTTTAATATATATATTTATTTATATATATATATATGAATTTTTATGCATATATTAATTTAAATACATGTAGATGAATATTTGAATATTTAATAATATTTTTTTTGCTGAATCAGCAGTTTTTTGCTGAGTCAGTTGTGTTTAACGACGTTAACGGATGCGTGTTTGATTTGGAAAAAATTTAAAAGTCTAGATATTTATATGAGAGTTGTAAAAAGTTCAGGTATTTATATGATAATTTTATAGTTCAGGTATTTATTTGAGATTTTTGTAATAGTTTCGGTATTTTTATGCGATTACCTCTTATTATATTACTATATTATAAAATCATTCTTATATGTAGAATAATTTGTCAATGATTTATCTGCATGTTTTTATTTCTGATCTTTATGGTTCTTCATATCTACAAAAAATTGTTATAAAATAATAATAAAAGAATATAAAATCTTTATAGATGATAATGGGTGGAGTGATAAAATATTTATTCATATTTTTTTAATTAATTTATATAATATTGATCTTCTTAAGCTTTAAGGATTAAAAAAAGATAACTCAATCAATGCTGAAATTTCATTGAAATACATATATGATGGTCAAATATGTTGGGATTTTTAGAGTAAATGAATGAGAATTTAGAATCTCTCAAAAGGATTCATGTTTCACGTGTATTACGAGTATGGTAGAGGAGTTAAATGCTTGTAAAACACGTGTCATGAATTGGTTTAGTTTTAAGGATTCGTCGGAAGAGTTTACGTTCGGGTTTGAACGTGAAGAGTGATCTCAGAAAAAATGGGAGGGCAGCTCGAAAACATGGGAGAACAGCTTGTTTTTTCTGAGGCATAAAGCCCAGAAATAAATGGGCGGTAGCTCGAAAAAACGGGAGGGTAGCCCGTTTTTTCTTAGCAGTTCGGGAACAAACGGGCGGATAGCTCGGAAAAACGGGCGGGTAGCCCGTTTTTTCTGAGCAGTTCTGAAATAACGAAAAATCGCGACCGTTCGGGAAATTAACTTCCGATTTATTCACACCTTTCGACATTTGGAGTGTTTATAAACACCCCTAGACATCTTAACACGATATAGAATAGATCTAAGTAGTTTTTTGAGAGATTTGAGAGCACTTTTGTGATTGTTCTTGCAAAACACTCACAAAAGCTTTTTGTTCATCTTCTTCTTGCGGTTTCTTGTATTTGTGATCTTAGGAGAGCAAATTAAGATCACTTTTCTCTTCATTGTATCTCAAAAACGTATTGGCGGGAAGTCCTTTGCTTTTATAGGACGGAATAACGTTTTTAGGAAAGTGTATCTCGCCTTAAAGAGTTATCCGGTTCCCGATTTACTTTTCTTGTTCATTTTATATCCCAGATTTATAACAATCTAAAAACGTTATCCATTCGAGGATGACTACTTCGGTGAGAGATCTTACAATAAACTTTCACAAACTTGACAAGTTCGAGGGCGTGAGATTTCGAAGGTGGCAGAAGAAGATGCATTTCCTCCTGACGACGCTGAACGTCGTCTACGTGATAAGCACTCCTAGACCGGAAGAAACCGAAGAGGAGACATTGGCTGCGGCTCGCATGCGAAACAAATGGGACAACGATAACTACGTGTGTTGCAGCCACATCCTTAACGGGATGTCCGATGAACTTTTTGATGTTTATCAACACATAGATACCGCCAAAGCCCTGTGGGATTCGCTGGAGGCTAAATACGTCTCTGGCGATGCCTCTAGTAAGCGATTTCTTGTAAGTAGTTTTAACTCTTACAAGATGGTGGACTCGAGACCGGTTATGGAGCAATATGAAATACAAAGGATCTTGAGTCAATTCACACAACACTAACTGCAGATGGATGAAACCATCAAAGTTTCATCCATTGTTGACAAACTTTCACCGAGTTGGAAGGATGTCAAGCGTTCCCTGAAACATAAAAAAGAGGATATGTCTCTTGAACAGTTGGGAACACATCTTCGCATTGAGGAGGATCTCCGGGTGCAAGATGGGAAAAGTGCTTCTCCTCCTACTACAGTGAATGTTGTAGAGGATGAGAAACGTGGAGCCAAAAGACAAGGAAATAAGCCCTCTAAGGATAATCCTAAGAAGAAGTCAAAGTCGAGTGCGACATGTTGGTTTTGTAATAAACCGGGACACTTCAAACGGGATTGCTACTCGTGGAAGAATAAACACGAGAAGAAGAGTGCCCATGGTCAAGGAAACAAAGCCCTTGACCAATCCACTCAAGGTAACAATAATTGTTACTTGACGAATTCGGATATGAATTTTGTTGCTATGATTTACGAGTTAAATCATGTTCAGGAGGGTGATCAATCATGGTGGATCGATTCGGGAGCACTCGACATATTTGTAAAGAACGTAAGCTCTTCAAGACTCTAGAAGTTGTAGAAGACGAAAGCGTTCTTTACATGGGAAACAACTCGACGGTCAAGGTCCAAGAAAAGGGGCAAGTAGAGTTGTTGCTTACATCCGGAAAGACATTAACCCTTAGGGAAGTTCTTTTTGCTCCGGATGTAAGGAGAAATCTAGTGTCGGGTTGTGTACTTAATCGGTTTGGCTACAAGATGGTCTTTGAGGCTGATAAGTTTATCCTATCTAAAGGAGGAGTGTTTGTGGGGCAGGGTTATCTATGTAATGATATGTTTAAACTAAGTATCAATAAAGTTTGCACTTCTTCCTTATATGTTGTTGATTCAAATGTTTCTACATTATGGCATGCTAGATTACGACATGTTCATTATAAACGGATAAATCTTATGTCAAAGATGGACTTAATTTCACCATGTGCCATGAACGAAGATAAGTGTATAACTTGCATGAAAAAGAAAATAACTCGTAATTCGTTTGCTAGCGTAGAACGGAGTTCGGAACTTTTAGAGTTAGTTCATAGTGACTTATGTGATTTGCATGGAACTCCGTCTCTAGGTAACAAAAAATACCTAGTGACTTTTATTGAAGACTCCACACTTTATTGCTATGTATTTTTGTTGCATGCTAAAGATGAAGCTCCAGATAGGTTTAGGGCATACAAATCCGAAGTTGAGTTACAACTCAGGGTTAAGCTCAAAAAGCTTAGGACTGATAGGGGAGGGGAATACTATGATCCAACATATTTTGAATCTGTAGGAGTGATTCATGAGACCACCGCACCATACACACCGCAACAAAACGGTGTAGCGGAAAGGAAAAATAGGATCTTGAAAGAAATGGTTAATTCCATGCTTTCATATTTGGGGTTAAGCGAGGGATTTTGGGGTGAAGCCATGTTAACGGCTTGTTATATTTTAAACCGAATTCCATCGAAAAGGAACAAGGTTACCCCATATGAACTATGGTACAAGAGAAAACTAAATCTGAATTATTTTCGGATTTGGGGTTGTCGGGCAATTGTAAAAGTCCCAAAACCAAAGAGAAAGACTTTCGGTGATCGAGGAGTAGAATGCATCTTCATAGGTTATGCTTTACATAGCAAAGCTTATAAGTTCTATGTCATAGAACCAAACGACTACATTACCGTTCACACGGTTATTGAGTCGAGAGATGCATTGTTCGACGAAAGTCGATTTTTTTCGGTGGATAAACCACTTATTTATGTACCTAGTTCGAGTAGTCGAGCAATCGATCAAGATAACGGACAACGTGAACCTCGTAGAGGTAAATGTATAAGGAAAGAGAAATCCTTTGGTCTGGACTTTTAGATGTATTTAGTGGAAGGTACAAACGAGTCGATAGTGACTAAACTTGCTTACGTCTATAATATCGAAGAAGATCCTAGAATGTTTGATGAAGCGATGAAATCACGAGATGTCGCTTTCTGGAAAGAAGCGATA